CTCCGTTGCGTGTCGCTTCGCGTTGAATTTTCGTCGATGTTAAGCCTAACGAAGACTATTGTATCGTTAAAAATTATTTTTTTATTTTGTACAAACAAAATAAATATATTAAAAAATATAAAAATAATAAAAAATTATACTTCAGATGTTAATTTAGTATCAAAAACGTAAAATATTTGAGTAGCCCAAGACATAGCCAAAGATTGAAGCGCCACAGCACTGGCGAAAATTTAAATTTGCCGACTGGAATTCTTTCGGATGATTGACTTTCGGAAAATCGACACTCTACTGTAATTCATTTTACTTAGGATAGTTTATATTTTCACAAAATTAGTAATGTAATTAAAAAATATATTTATTACAGTTGAATCCCATATCTCAGTTGTATGTTTTACACTACAGCACTTTCTCACTTATGTATTATTCATTTTGAAATGGAAAAAATTTAAAGCAATTATTTAAGAAAAAACACTTATTTCTTTATGGTTAGTCCATACTGACAGCAAACTGCCAGTAAATGCAAAAAGTAAAGCAAATAATTCAAAATATGTAACACCATTTCTGATGAACCTTCCCATTTAGCAAATCACTCCTCCATTCCAAACATTAAAAATTTCATTTTCCACATTATGTACTGTGAATCAATTTCACTAAGTAAACAAAAATTACTGTCTTTTCTCATTTGTTTCACTGTGTGAGCTAACCTTTAGAATGATTCTTTTACAAGATTGGAGTTTCATCAGGAGAAAACAACTAATGTTACATACTACATACTATACCAGTTATGTGGGAGGAAAAAACCTTGGTGAATTTTTTTTATTTAATTTTACTCCACTCTACATTTTATATGCTGTTCAAATGTATTATACATATAGTTAATTGTAAATGCTTTGTACATTGTACAAAGTCAGTTGTTAATTTGTGCTGCACCATACTTTTTTTTGCAATTATATTTACTCTGAAAGTAATTTGAAAGTAGTTTCAACTTTTAATGTTTTCTCACTTAAATGATATTTTTTTTCAGTTCTCCTGAAAAGGTATAAACCAGGTTGAACTCTAATTATTATTATCTCATAAAATTCTAGTTATTATCATAAAATATACTCTTACAATTAAAGTATTTCTAATACTCACTTTTATTAATGAATATCAAATGGACTAACTAAAAATAATTCTGGTTTGTCATATCCCAATTCTTCTGGTGTACTAATACCAAGTTCTGTTAATGTTGATTGAATTTCTTGAATAAGATAGGGATATATTTCTTTTGCTTTGTTGCCACCTTTATCCTATTAAAAAAAGCATTCAAATAATTTTGTATAATTAATGATAACTATTACATATAAGTTTTCAATAAATTATAATAAGGTAAAGAAAAAAAATAATCACTAAATAACACAAGATTATGCCATATAATATAAACTGTCAACAAATCTGACATAATTAAATGATGAATTAGTATTAACTACATCTCAGTCAATAAAAAAACAAAAAATTTAACACAAGTGAATAAAAATATTTACAAAAGCAAGAATGTCCATGCAATGTGAGAAAAGAATTATTTTTTTCTCCCAAGAAAGCAGCATCTAGTTAAAGATCAACATAAAAATAAACTTAGTATGTTCTAACATAAAAGGCATATCAAGTACTTTATCTGTAAACATTTTAATAGCTAATTTGGTAGATAGAGTAATTTGATATTTTTATTTATATTTCTTCCTTTTTCTTCTTTGAAGAAACAAGTTTTTTAATTATCAATACCAACGTATGAATGGTCACTTTAAATGTATATTTAAATCACGCATTATATTAAGGTAACAACAGCAACAGCATTAATCATCTGCACTGATCTCATCACCTAAAATTTTGAATGGTGAAACATTTGGATGCAGTATTTGTATAGCAAAATACCATAATTTTCTACAAGTTATCACATCCACAGACACCATAATAGTCAATCAACAACTTTTTTTTACTCAGATGTGTTTTGAAAATTACAGTATTTGTAAGTGTTGGTGAATGTGTGATGGATAATGTATGAAAGCAAGCATAGCAAATACTATACAGGTATCCATTGTATAACACTAGTTAGGTTCTGAAAAAGTGCCATGTTATGCAAATCCGTGCTGTAGAAAACAAAGGACTAATACAAAACATACAGTTAGGTTCAAAAAATTAACAAAAGTATATTATTGTTTTTTGTTTCTAAGAGAAATATGTTTATTAAAGTAATCAATAATTAGCAAACAATCATAATTAAAAGTACTGTATTAGGCATTAATATTCAGTTTAGTTAAATGATGCCTTCTTTTTACAAAGTATTGTCATAATTTTAGTTTTTTTGTTGATCTTAATCAGAAATATCAGCAACATCTTTATTTTTTTTTTTATTTGTATCATAAAATATTCTTATGGATGACAAAAATATATAACAAATTGAAAATTTCAATATGATAAAATCCATGGGCAAATTTAAAACACCACACTTGCTTTACTTAAATTTTAAAAAATATTGAATAATGGACTTTACACTTAATGACTGTGAAATTTTGTATGGATGATTTTCCAAATTCTCCAACTGTGTTATAGTAAAACTGTGTTGTAGAAGTGCCATGTTGTATGAGGGATACCTGTATATAAGAAAATATCATTTACAAAGGAACAGATGGAAATAAAGTATTAAAGCAGTTAAATGATTGGAACATTAAAACTGGAAGATTATCAGAAAATTGTTTGTGCCTTGTTTCACTTGTATGGAAGAAAGCCCACAGAGAAGGGAAATAATGTAATTTCCAAAATGCATTTGGGTAAAACAAAGTTGTTGATTGTTTGGTGATTATGGTGTTTGCGGATGTAATAATTTCTAGAAAATTATGGTATTTTGACCATTCATATAGTAATATTGAATACATGGAATTGAAGTATAGTATGGATTACAGATAACTGTTTTTAATTAAACAATTGTATATAAAAACATTGCTTGCTGAACTCCAATGAATTACCTAAAATCCACTTCTAGGAAAAGTTTTTATTTCTGCATACATATTTTTAACAAGTTAACACATTCTGAAAACTAAGAAGAAAATAATATATGAAATAATGTATATATTTATATACTAGTAAAAAGTGATCCATGCATGCTTTGAATTCCTTTTTATGCAATTTAAGAGACTAAAAGATACACAGTATTTAAATTTTTCTACTTATAACAATTAACAAACTAAATTAATGTAAGCAAGGAAAAATGATATAAAAATACAAGTTCTACAATATCCCTGAAAAAACAAAAAAAGTTAAGCCATTTGTCATAACAGAAACTTCACATTCCTATATTATTTGGTATCCAATATTACAAGCTGTTTGTTATAACTTTCAAAAATGTGATAATTTTTAATTTATATACCTAAACAAACATTTAATGAATACCTCAAAATTAGTCAAAAATTCAAAACACAGTGCTTGGTAAAAGAAATGATGATGTAACTTGAGTAAATACTGGTACATACAAATATCTCTTCTAAACCATTAGACTTCAGGTACAATATGAATATAGCAAATAAACTAATGTATTCTATCTTTAACCAAGATCTATCAGGCCATCTATCGTTCCAAATATGCCAAGAATTTAGAACATTATGCATACAAATGGTAAAAGAAGCGTTGATGCCTGCATCATCATTTCTTTTACCAAGCACTATTATAGCTCATCTTTTACAATGTTCAAATTTTAGCAATCCACAAAAAAATTAAAAAAAAAAATAGAGAAGAAAAATGTCAATGATTAACTCAAAAACCATCAAATATTGTTACTAATTTATTTATTTTTATTAAAACTATTAGAAGAATACTGAATTCTTTCTAATCATCATCTATTAATATAATGATCTCATTTTGTCTTATTGATTTAAAATTTTTTAACTGAATATGTATAATTTAGTTCTAATTCATGCAGTTATTTGTTGGAGTAAGAATTCACCAGTCATGTAGATCTTATTCCAGATTTCTGTTTATGTAAAGATTTATCATCAATTACTATAGATTTTCACTAACAATGAAGTTTGTTTAATAAAATTTAAATAAGGAGTTTGACTTCCTTAACAGAAAATATCATATAAATTTCATTAAACTATTGAAAAAAGGAAATGAGTGAAATACAAAACAATGAAGCTATGTTTTATTTTATAATTATTATAAATAACTCCATTGGAAAAATTTTTAATGATATAATATGCATCTATCAATTTTATCTTCATGTTTCTGTATAAATATTCTTATAATTTCTGTTATACAATAGATAATCAATTTAATAACAAAATTATAACAATTATCACACTATTTGATGTATTATCTTGAAAATAATTTACAATAAACATAGTAAAACAGCTTTTATCTTTATTTCAATAATTTAAAGACAACAAATAAAAAAGCTAGTCAATTTTCTCTTTTTATTTGATAAAAACCAACTTAATATATATGTCATCTCTACTTGCATTCAACTCCATACTTTGTATTTCATTTACCTCATTCTATAGCATTAAAAAGTCAGTTTTTAATGCAAATTAAATTTTTTCAAGTCTAGTTCTCTCATCTTCAGATCCAAATCTTATCAAACATCATCTGTAGAACACTGTTCATAATCTAGAGCTCCAGAGATTTTGAAACAGCAGCAACAGAAAATAATGCAAAAATTTGTAACAAGTTCAAATTTACTACAAGTTTTTGCTGTATGAGTATAACCATAATGCCTGCAGAACTTTCTGGAGCACAGTCTTCCATTATTATTAAATCCTGATAGTGTCCATATCCACAGGTCTAAATTAATTTTCTCTTCCAATATCTGGTTCACAAGACTTATGGGTTGCTGTTAAGAGAGATTCTGTAATGTGGAAGGGTACATTTCTCAAAGCCTCTTCCCACACTTTGTTTTGTAATAAAAGTTATGCCAGAAGACAGTGAACCAAACATCTTTGCAAGCATTATACTTACATGCAAAACTCATAAATTTAAACTTTTTATGAATTTGTGTGTTCTTTTCTGTTGTTCTAAAAACTCTATGACTCTAGATTTCAAACAATATTCTGCAACTGAAGCAACTGCAATTGATAAAGTTTTTGATTTAAAGATGAGTTTTGAAAAATATTTAATGTGGCATTACAATCATGAACTTCTAGTGTGAGGTGAATAAAAATAGAGTACAGTAGAGCATCGTTTATCCAAATCAATTGGGAACTGGGGTTGTTTGGATAACCGATTATGTATGAAAAAATATATTAACCTATCCCATGTTAAAATTTTTCTCCATTGCGTGTCGCTTTGCATTGAATGTTCGTCGATGTTAAGCCTAACGTAAATTTTTATAATAATTATCGTGGCTATTTTATCATTAAAAATTATTTCTTTATTTTGTACAAACAAAATAAATATATTGAAAAATATAAAAACAAAAAAAATTATACTTTAGAAGTTAATCTAGTACCAAAAACGTTTGATTCAGCACGACACACAGTCCTGAGAAAAACACCACAGAAAAGTGCCAGTGCTGCCAGCTAAAAAACACACACCAACAAAAAAAATATTGAAGTAGCCAAAGATATAGCTAAAGGTTGCAGCGCCACAGCACTAGCAGAAATTTAAATTTGCCGACTGGAACGCTTTCAGTTAACCAATGTTTCGGTTGACCAGCTTTTGGATAAACAAAACTCTACTGTATTAGTTTCATCTACAGTAGTGGTGCACAAACTACTTTCATTTCTGACCCCCCCATTTTGTGTAAAATTTTGTCGCAACCCTTGAATAGACAGTAACATTTTTTGTCATGAACCATGGATAGACAATAGACATTTACTGTGCTGTAACTATACTGTTGTCCTACAAGCTAAATATGCATATGTCAACATGTGTTTCTGTTGCCACATCATTATCAGTATAACTATGTCTGTTTGCCTGCTGGTTGCCAAAGTATAGGTATTAGGTACTAATACAGACAATTGTTTTCATTAAAAAATATAGTTCTTATAAATAGTTTCTTATAGTTTTTATAAAGAATATAATTTCATTTCACGATTTTACTGGTCCCTGATACTTGTTGAAGAAAACCCTTATACTGTATTTTTTATTGTCAAATAAATTTCTTTGAATTTGGTGACCCTGAAAAATTTTCTCACTCGAACAACCGTGAGCAACCCACGGGTTGCACACCACTAATCTACAGTATTAATTCTATATATGTGTATATGTATGTGGATATATATGAAATGTGGGTATATATGAAGATTTCTTCCAATAGAGGCTGGCAGTAGCATTCCAAATAACACCTAGTTGAGATCAAAGTGATACCAAAACAATCAGGTATATAAAATGGTATAAGCACATTGAATAATTAGGAACTTTATAAACTACCTAAATGTATTAAAAAATGCTAGTACCGTGTTTCCCCGAAAATAAGACATCCGCAGAAAATAAGACCTAGCACAGATTTNCTGAGAAAAACACACAAAATTAGCAATTTAGATTATTATTTTATTAAATGAATATAATAAAACTAGAAAATAGTAAAAAATAAAATTAATTTAGTAACGTAGTTTATGTAGGCAATTTTTGAAAACCACTGGAGTATATAATTTCTTGTTCATACTGTACAAATTGTAATAATTATGTTTGTATTAACAAATAATTATTGCTATTGTTACTGTATAAATGTCGATCCATTTAACTACATTGCATATGAAGGTAATGAAACAGGAAAGAAAAAAATTTGAATGTATATAGCTCGTTTCAGAAAAATTTTACTTATGAATCAATATATCATACAGCAAAATGCTATAACAAATATAGTAGAACTCCTATTATTAGAGTATATGAGGTAATGTGGACCAATGCTATCTTGGATAACCAAACACTGATAAAATGGATGGACACAGTTATTTTGAATTAGTGAATTAAAAATGGCTATTAAATTATGTTGCATTGCAGCATAAATTGATCAACATAATAGTAATAATATTCTGTCTAAAACTGCAGGGGAAAATTGTTTGTATTATTGCTAACTAGCAGCAGTATGTAAATAAGCATGCAATGATATTAAGAATGTGATACATTCAGTGCTTAAAAGACTTCAAAAGAAGGGCCAAGGAAAGAGGACAGATCCTTTTTCCAAAGGAACTTAAAAGTGAACAATTTGAATCAAAAGCATTCCAATTGTGATAAATAGGAAGTTTGAGAAAAATTACTTTTGTAAATTTTGATATAGATTTGTGTATCAGGAGGTGGAGATTTAGATTTAAGTTAGAATTAAGAGGCACTTATTTTGGGGTAAAAACTGTTAAATCATTTTTGTTTGGTAGTTCTGATAGATTCAATTGTCAGAGATAGATTGAGTTGTTTTGTTCAACAACAGTCATTCAAAGTAAACTTCTTTTTGTACTGTTCAAATTGTTATTTCTTTGCTTTTTGTGCAAAGCAAGTAGTACCTGTCAAAATAGTTTGTCAAATTGTTCTAAAATATAGTCTGCTCTGGACTTTACTTATCTAATAAATTAGATTCAGTCTAGTTTTTTTTATGCAAACAAGATTGTGGTTTTTCCTCAACTCCTAGTAAACCCAGGCCTGGCTTCTTTACTGAACTCTTTGTACCAACTGTGCACTTGTTAGGTTTTTGGACAACTTCTTTAGTAGCTAAATTAAGCACAGTTTTTATATAGCTACTAGCTGCAAGGACCCGCTTCGCTGGGTTTTTATTTGTTCGTACATTTGTATGTAATATAGTTTTTTATATATATAAAAGACTGTTTTTCTAAGTAATCTAGAATCTAGCTGCAAGGACCCGCTTCGCTGGGNCCCACCCTTGGTTTAGAGGTTCAAAAAAAAAATATATCTATATATATATATGTTCAATCTAAAAAATTTTAATCATTTAAAAATATTTTAGTCACATGACTCCTTCCTATTAATTGCACTATATTTTATAAAGAAAACATTTTATTTTGTAATATGCATAAATGCCAAGCAAATTATCAGTATGCTTATTTCCTTATTACTAAGAATGTCCCTCCCTAGTATCTTCTTCTGCTGTAAATCATCCTGTAAATGCAAATCTATCTGTAAAAAAATGGTTTAATTAATGCAAAGCTAGGAAGAACATTGTAGATTCTAAGATAATTTCCTTTTTAAATTAAAAGAGAGCATTACAAAGAAAATAATAGGCATACTGTATTCAAAAGCATACTCAGATCTCATAATTGTAAAATCTAATAAAACATTAAAGCTGCTAAAAATCCAAGATAGATACTTGAATGTGTTCCAAAAATGGTTTATGGACTACTAAACATCCAGAATAGTTTAGAAATAGTAGTAGATTATAAGAATGGTGTGATGGATTATAAGACTGGCCCTATAGCTGAGACTCCTAAAAACTACTTTTTACTTAGTGGTCTGCACAAATCAGTCAAAGTTTTAAAAAATAGTCCTATAAACTTAAATTTTAATACAAAACAAAAAATGTTCTTGCTTCAAAAAATGAAATAAAGTATGTGACTTTTAAGTATCATATTATTAAGTACAATATATAACAACTAACAATTATGGAATAAAAAACAGCTTATGAGCATGTTTAAAATGAATACTTATAACTAGTAGTAGAAATTACAAGTATATTCAGTTGATACTCAGCATCTGGAAAATTGACTGGATGTTTTGTGAATCACTAATGGTGCATATATTGAATGTTTGTAACATTTACTTTAATAAAAGAAATTCTGGAAAATACAGATGCTAAAAATTCTTGTTTAATAATTTGTGTGCCATCATAAATTTCATTAAAAGGATAAGTTTTACAAATATTTTCAAAATCTTGTATTATTATTTTAATACAGTTCATAAGCAATCAAGAATAATTTCTCAAATTTTTAAAAAAAGTAAAAAAAATCTACCTTTAAAGATTCAAGATATCTAACAGCAAGAGCAAAATCATTTACTCTTCGACAAGCTTTCAAAGCAGCTATTATTATTTTAGGTTCAGGAACAACATCCATGCCATGAAGATCATTCATTGCTTTGCGAATCTCCCAGCCATCAATATCTTTTCGGTTGAAATAAGCTTCATATCTTGCATCAAATTCTTCATCTGTTTCAGTATTTTTCTTAGACATGGTTCTTGCAGTTAATATTGCTGTAATACATAAGTCATTATATAAAAATGTATAACATAAAAATTTTTTTAATAAAATTAATACATTTCAAAATTATTAATGTTTCTGAAAAGTAGTTATGTAATTTCAAATTATAAAACTACATGAATTTTTAAAATGAGTCAGTGATAAACATAAAATTTCCCACATTAAAATTGTCTATAAAAGCAAATTATAAGTTTTTAAAATTACACATTTTGAAATATGCAATTTTAAAATAATACAATAGAAAACCAGTATATATTGTTAAAAAATATTCATAATTCAAAATTATGCACATAGAACAACTAAGTTCTTTGGCTGTTAATGATAACATTTACATCATCTGGACAGTACCAACAACTGTTTGAAAATTAGTTGCAATGAACACTGAAAAATACAGCTGAACTCGGTTATAATAAGCATTATGGAACTGGCAAGATTTCCTCATTATAACAGTTACTCGTTACATCCGTGAAGAGCAGTGACGTACCTAGGAGGAGAATGGATGGCTGGTTTGGGTGCAAACACGTAAGAGTGTCCTGCAGGTGGCAAAATTTGTACTATGCCATTGATAATTAGTGAAATTTATACTTTAAATAAGTTGAATAAAAAAAATAATAATAATAATAATAAATTTAAAAAAATCAATTACATTATACTGTATTTTTATTAATAGTTATATAAACTACAACATAGTTAATATTAAACAATTTATTTTTTTGTAATTAAAGTTAATACAAATTAATAATATGCCAGATTTCAGTTAGTCCTTTTATCTACAAATCTTAAAATCAATGTTTGCTTTATTTTTTCATAATGTCGATACTGTCGAAGATGACAAAGTAAACACTTCAATGTTTTAAGCACCACATTTTAACTCTGGAATAATTTCTACTTTTTCCTAAACTGAAAGACATTTTCTTTTCTTTATAGACATCTTTCTCATAGAAGAGTTCATTTTTAACTACAGTATATGGTAATTTTACAATCACATTGATGATTAGGTAAATTGGCAGAGTAGAACCAGAAGCTAGTCAAGAAAGAGGGGAGAAAATTTCCTTAAACTTTCATTTGTAACTCACAGCAAGATTTGTATTTACAAAATAAAAGTTTTAAATATGGAACTGCTGAAATAAACCTAAATTAAGTCCAACAATCACATCTCTTGATCTATTTGAATCAATTCATTCCAATTACAGACATACCTTGATAATACAGATTAGTTTCCAGATCACCATTGTAACAAATATTACAGTTAAAGCAAATCATTCCTTTTTTTCATTCATTCATCAATTGAACAATAATTTTTAACTTTGATGTTTCAGATTAACTTAATTTTTGTACATCACTAGTATTTATGCAAAACATTGAAAATCAAGATTTTTGCAATTTTTGGAATCAATTTTTTTAATTATACAGAATTTTGAAAATAGACAAAAACACAAATTGATGTTCTGATATACAAAAATTGTCACAGATCATTACCTATTTCCCATAGAGAGTTGCTTTTAGCTCATTTTAAAGTTCTTTTAATGCCCTTTGATTTGATATGCAAGAGGTATCCTTAAAAAAAAAAAAAAAATGTTTACGTTTTCAAATTTTGGATTTTAAAAATGTCTGAAATATCACCTTCAATTTCTTTAAAAAAGTTATTTATAAAGACAATGAATAAAGACCTTACACTCTTTTCCAGCAATTAAATTCAATTAAAACTAATGTTTTCAGCCTGGTTAATAAGTCTTCATCAGGTTTTTAAATAGAGATTCTATTTTTAATTATTGATTATTTATGAAATTCATATATTTCTTAAGCTTATATCCAAATTTTTGTTATGAAATGATTATGGGATCATAGTAAAAAAAAGTGCTACCTACACTGCATGTTACTAGTGCACTTTGATAGTGATTTTTTCTGAACATGCTCATATTTACAAACTTCTATGTATAACATTATATTTTTACTTGTTTTTAAAATTTATTCATACTTGTGAAATAATCCCAAAGTAGATACAAATTAACTTAACTGAAACTTAAAAGTTTAAAACATACAAAATTCATTCATTAATCAATTAATCAATAAACATTTTGCTTATGAAGAAAATTACAGCGCTAATTTGGGTTTAGTAGCCCTCTAATGAAAATATCATATTTTGGAGTATTTCAAAGTTCTTCAAATAAAACTTTGGAGTTTATTTTAAAAAATTCTATACTGTGTTTGCAATGACGACTTTTTCACTGTCTGGCATTTTAAGCATCTCACCCCAAGTATCTGGGTGAGATGCCAAATGCCATTAGGGTAAGATAACAAATATAATTGCTTAAAATTAATTTTTGAATTTCTTAACCAAATTTAATTTATTGCATATGTAGTACAAAGTACTTCATAGTAAGTATAACAGCACAGTATAAGTATTGTTAAGTTTCCGCCCGTTCTAACGTGTTCTATAGCTAGCTGAAAGCTTTTTTCAGTCCAAAAACTTTTTTGAGAAGTCCTTATATAATTTCTATGCATATCCTGCAATAAAACGAGAAAACAAAAGTTTATTAAAAATAGGCATATTGGAAATCAATTAACAAAAAATAGGCACGTTACCCCAAGAAAAATGTGGCATATTTTCCATTTGTTGGGGTAAGATGCCTAGTAGAGTCACGTGCTCCAGCATGTCCGATCGGGATCGGCGGTAGCTGACAATGGAAACTTTAGAACCTTAACTACATCACACATTAATTGTTTTTAGCAATTTTTAATAAATTCCATTTTAACTTTTAGTTTAAAATTATTCTAGAAACATTTCACAACAAAAACTTCGTTCTTATCTAGCTTTTATTCTTCTCGGATGTAGAAAATGAAGTAACGGTAGCCAACTACAGCTTTCCGCACTCAATATTGGCCCAACGATTCATCATACAAATACATGACAATATGTGACGTCACCGTTTGAAAATATCAAAAATTAGGCATCTTCCCCCGCTTACCATCTTACCCCGAATCACTCTATGCGTTGCAGTCAAACCAGTTTTTAGTTAGGATGCGTTTTAACTAGTTAAAACTAGTTTATACTGGATGTCTTTGTTAAAACCCGTTTTGTCTAGTTAAAACTAGAATTTACTGCTAGTCAAAAATGAATTTGAGTTAAAACTAGTTTTAACTAGACAAAACGGGTTTTAACAAAGACATTCAGTATAAATTAGTTTCAACTAGACAAAACGGGTTTTAACAAAGACATTCAGTATAAACTAGTTTCAACTAGACAAAACGGGTTTTAACAAAGACATTCAGTATAAACTAGATTCAACTAGTTAAAACGCGTTCTAACTAAAAACGAGTTTTGACTGTAACATATACAAAATTTCAACACTGGAAGTTTGCATGTGGATTGTTAAACTTTTGAGAAAAAGTTATTGGGCATAAATTTCCACTGTTGTTAGTCTGTCTATGTGTTTTTCCTTAATCTCAAGAATGGAGTTAGTTAGATGAAAGATGAGACTAGATATGAAAACATTAGGAACAGGAGGTCCTGGTTAACTATATACAAACTTCTGATGCAAACCAGAAGTCATGTTATTTCAATTCAAAAATTAAAATTGACTTTAAAGGAGACATGCATACCAATGTATATTATAAACTGGAATACATTCCTTTTATTTATTCCAGCACACTCAAATGATCCATTTAGATATAAAGTAGCTAAATATAAAAACACCTTATCACCGTGGTATTTAAATCTCTACAAGCATTTTCCGGCTCTATTTATGAGCCCTCGTCAGGTGAATTGTGTCGTCGTCGTTTCACCGTCAACTTTTTCAACTACATTATAGACTATATAAGAGACAAAAATAACACATCAGCAATGATTTGACCTGTGGAATTTTAATTACAAAAGGCTAACAGTATTGTCACTATGAAAAAAGGGCTCTCATAAGATCACTAAATGTCAACCAAATAACTTCATGAAGTGCATCTTAACCAAAGAGGCCTATATTCAACAAAAATTTTGTAATCAAAGTTATTTAAGTCAAATTTACTCAAAAATCCTTTTATTTTCTTTGTCAAAGTTTAAATAGTCACAAAACTTGAGCTTAGAGCATTAATTCTTAAGTTCATAGTATTTCTTATATTGATGTGAGCAATATGAGATGTTTTCTTCTCCCAACAATTTTCTGACAAGTGCATTATTTAATTAAAGACATCCCATTTATTACATCAACTGTGGAGATTTATGCAAAAACCTGATATGCACATTGCTAATAGTAACACAAAAAATATTATGAATTTAATAAAATAATAAATTCAGGATTCATCTGGATGTGAGCAAGCTATTTTTTAATAACATACGATAACAGATCTCACCTTCAAATTCCTATATTATTCTTTTACCACCAATAAATTTTTTTAACATAAGCAGACTCCTTTCTTTCTTCTAATATGAAAAAAACAAGCAAAAGGGGCAAAGCCATTCTTGGGACGAAACAATGTCTCAGAGAGCACGAGCAACGCACTCGTGCCCGTTCGTAGAAACAGTCTCAACATTTTGTATTTTACTTTGATCCAGTTCTCAGTCCCCCAACTATCTACAAATCTGGTTTAGCCTACGTGCACACGATTTGGGCACCAAATACTCTGTGCCAAATTGCAACTCCAGATACATACTCCTTCATACCTCTAAGGCGTGCAGCCATCGACAGCAGCGCGATTTTAGAGACAATAAGACATAGTCTCGTCAAAAATAAGATATTAGATAAGAGCAAACGTACGTACGATCCTTTCAATCCACTTAATGCATCCGTAATACTTAAACATTTCAAACAAACAGCTGTAATTAACCATGCAATAAAATTTGCACGTCGTCGGCATTACATACCGAGTAAATTTTAAGTAACATCCAATGCAAATTTTACGCAAGTAGTCAAAAGGGTGCAAACGCAGCTTCGAATGGGACAGTTAAACCATGCCATAGATCATCTGGGGGGGAGTTTTAAATTAGGAGATCCAAACTCCCAGAATTCCAATTTATAATGGATTTCTTCTTTATATTAATTACCATTCTGATCATTTACATACACAAATATATAAAATTATTGTTATTTGATAAGCTTAATTGCACTAATTTTATAAAAGTAATGTTCAAAATAGTCTACAAGTACTTAATTTAATAGAGAATAATAACCATTTGTTTCTATTATGAATATTTAATACTGTATTTTCAAAGATTAAAAATAGGCTTAAGAGTTATCTTCATGATATAAAGTTAACATGATAAATACCCGCATGTGGTTTGTTGGCTTGCGTGGCCACGAAATTTCGCATGTTAAAAGCCGATCTGGCGATATTCCGAAACATTTTCTTTCGATTTTCTATCCAAAAATCCTTAAAAATTTAATATTTAACCTACAAATATCTCCGGAACACTTCCCGAAATACTTTGCGGCAAAATATTGCGTCACTAGATAATAAACGTTTCTTTCATAGATATCGGAATTGAAAATTTGTTATAATTATCGTCTGGAAATTTTATTGAATTACGACATATTATAATTTACGTTATATTTTCACTACAGATTTATTTGTATAAAAAATAATATAAGCAGGTCGACCTTTTTTTTTATTTTTTTACTTTCTCGGCCCTGTGTACACAGAAAGCCCTGTATTCGAGTCCATAGTGTGCTATCTCCAAAGTTCTGTAATTCACAAAATCTAAACTATAGGTCAGGCAGGCATTTCTATTATAGAAACGAATACTTCTAAACTTTTTGACCGACCTACACCAAATTTTTAATACTTATTTTCTAGGATCCTGCGGAAAGTATAAGCTATGACATTCACTCCTCTCCGATTTCATCTCTTGACACTTTGTGATAAACATAACAATAGTGTTTTTTTTTTCTTTAATTCTCTCTGTCCTGTGATCACTAACTCGTAAGAGGAACTTTTGCAGCATGCCCAGTATGGATTCGGCCAGGCCAATTTTGAGGCAGTCGGGTTTTTTTTTATTCTTCCCGCGCTGTTAGCAAGCCAATTATGTGTTCGGACAGGCCACAATGTGAGGGACGGGGCCCGACCAGCATCTGAAAACTTTCTGGGACTTTTTCGACCAGTCCGGATTTGATCCACGGTCCTCCAGAGCGGTAGGTTGCCATCTAACCGCTCGGCCATCCGGCCTAATGCAGCCGGATATTATGGGACTGGGCTGACATATCCGGACTTACCATCCCCGAAAAATTCGGGGATGGTTCTTCCGGATTTCGATACACTTTTAAACCGCTCGGTACCGGCCATTAGATACCATTCTGTGATATTCGGGATCGAATCCGGGCGGTGTTGAGAAATGGTTCAATATGGGCCTATCGTGACAGTCTATAGCTCAAGTTGTTCATCTTCAAATTAGAAGTTACAAAAATACACACCGTGGTGAGCCGAATGTCAATTTGCATGGGCCGGTCCACGGCGGTCCAGATCCAAATTAGGACCAGTCATTTTAAAATTTTAACTAATACACTGCGTTTTCCGTAGCTTAAGCATACCACGGTGTCTTGCGGCCTGAATTACGATATGACTTTTTAAAATTTAATACAATACACAGCGTTTGTACTGTGTTTATTAATTAATTTTTCCGGAATGAAATATAACGTATATTGAAATAAGAAGTGGCCAATCGGGAAATTCCTGATTTCCAGGTGTGTCAATCCACCATTGCACATATACCATAACTTTTGGCGGACATACTATGAGATTTATTAAATTATTTTAACTTTTCTTAGTACAAGCTCAGCGGTTTTGGATGTTTTCCAAAAGATTGTGTAAGACATTTCCAATTGTCTTGACACTTCGCGCATAATGCTGGCATTTGTTGCGTTGTTGTTCGCTCCATGAGGTAATGTCAATGTCTTCAGGCTGTTATGAACAGATAGTTTTTTTCGCCATCTACCTGGGCAGATCAAATTCGATAGAACAACGAGAATGAATTTTATCATAGGTAAATTGACGATGATAACATTAAGCGGCATTTCTGGAGTTTGAAAACTACGAGATTTTGACTTCATGAGTTGTGATTTTGCTTAATACAGTACGACAACACAATATGCGAGCGATCTGTCAATGATGAGTGTCTTCTGGGAGGATTTTCCATGAAAAAACTGGGCCTATTTATGTGTTAGATACGAAAAGAAAACTCGAAAAACTCTATCTGACAGCTTGCTGGTCAGGTACGAATCTACGAACAACTGTCAATCTGTGTTGTTTTTATCTATTCGGTCATTGGCGAGTGTTATGAATTATTTAAAGCCAGCGTTTTTCAACCTTTTTATACTGCGGACGGGCAAAAATAGGAAAAATATTTCGGAGACCGGCAGAAGGCTAAAGACAAATTTTCTTAAACTGTTTAGACGCATGTGACGCGCGTGATTGTCGTAACTGACCGTAACGAGGCACTGGTTACCGTGTATTGTAATGGTATTGTTTTCATTCTCACGTCGATCACTCGCTCTCGAGTCGAGCGGAGCCGCAATAAAATGGGAATTTTTGCTTCATGTCACTCATCAATAAGCGAGCTGACGCAATACAATAACATCTACTAAGTGTAAGAGCAGGGGTGTAAGAAGTGGAGGGAGGAATTATCACCAGACTGATAACTGTCATGCATAAACGTAATTATTTTATAAATTCTTCTAATTATTATTATTATATAGCCTAGTAGTTATAGTAATTATGTAATAATTTTAATAAATTTTCGATTTATAATGAACTTTACTTAAACAATTGCAATAATAAAATCCAGCAACAAGTTGCTAAACTTTCCCGGTAACATTTGGTGGCGCCGTCTGTTATGATATTTTTTAAAAATTTTAAATTTTTAACTATTATAAAATAGTAAAAAACTTAATTTTGACGGAAGGGATGGGTTTTATAAAAAAATGTAAATGCTTATAACAAGCAAAATCTTCATTAATTATGACACTACTGATGATACACACGACTCCCTTTATCTCCCTATCCCCTCGATCTTTAATCACGAAAATGTAACAGTATCGATCCTCCTAATAAACAAATCTTCCTGCAAAATTTCAGAAAATTTCGATAAAAAGCACAGGAGTTATTAAACAAAATCGTTCCACCTCCCCCTACACACTAACATCCCTCTTACAGAAATTACTTCCGAATTTTTTTGAATTTCTCGACGTTTCAAGGTGTCCCGAGTCCAAAAATGTATAAATCTTGGCAGGGGGTCATTTTTTTTATCGATCCCTTACTATTACATATAACAACGGGGAAATTAAAAATAAACAAAATTGTTTATATTAATTAAATACAAGTTTAAAATTTTATTTTGTTATTACAAAATTTCCTGCTAGTCTAGGAAATTTTCAAGGTTGAAGAACATTGGTTTAAACGACTATAACTGGTTGATGTTCAGAAGTGTCGTTGAAAGTGGCTACCTCTTGTTCTACTGCAGTATTAATACTACGTATTTGCACATAGTGTAAATGTTTAAACTGCTGACAATGTGGCTTTGCGCGTGACATGACGTTGACTGTTTACTTTACTAAATCGAGTTTAAAAGTATATATGCTAGTACCTCCACTGGAGAGCCAATAACATTGTTCACAGGACAGCAGTTTCTGTATTTTTGGTTTATTATATTATATAGTTTTTGAAAGAAAAATTTTCACTTTGAATATTTAAGTATGTTTACTTGAACATGCAAGAAAATAATGGATAAGGAGCTGTCCATTAATTACGTCCGCATTTTTCTTTAAATTTTTACTCCCCCTCCCCCTCTTGTCCCAGTTTGTCCAAGTTTCCGTAACTCCCTCCTCTCTTCGGACGTCCAACTCGACTCCCTGAAAACCTTTATCACTTTATGAATGATAGATGCTATAAATAAAAACGAAGCATACAAGAAATTTTGAAATAAATATAATAAAATGGATAAACTATAAAATGTAATGAAATCCACATTGGGAGGGAGGAAAGGTGAAGACAAGTGGACATCCTGAACGGATGTCCACTTGTCTTCACCTTGTTTCCTTTCCTTCACCTTGTCTTCATTTGTCTTTAGTGGATATCCGTTCAAGATGTCCACTGAAGTTCAATCCTTCCCCTCCCTCCCAGTGTGGACGTCATTTATAGACAGCCCCTAAGAGATATATGAAAACACTAAATAATATACCGTATTTTCGCGGAATATCTTGCATGCCGATCTATGCTGGGGAGACTATCAAATCAGATATTTCCGTATGGTAAAAGCCGACATGCTAGTCTCCCCCGTTTTTATGCGGCATGCCGGCCATTCTGCGAAAATACGGCAAACTATGCAAATGTATGTAAATTACATTTCTAAATAAAATTAGGAGATAAAGCATTATAAGTAGAAATTTACGGAGTAAATCTACATAGAAACTTTAGACTTAAGTGTAACAGCAGACACTAAACGGTTGATTACCGCTGTAAAAACTTTACATATTCCGACAAATGTTGATAGTTGAATACGGTACTTGTTTAGAGACAGAGCTTCAATTTTCGTTTTTATCTCCCAAGTTATTGTCTGCCCAGACAATATAAAATGTAGTATTTTATTACACAACGTAACTGTGTGTGTGACATTGCCTAATTAGCTAAGAAGCTAACAGTAAAAATGCAATTTTTCGCTTACAATTTCACGATTACACACGCTAAATCTTTTCGAAAATTCTACGAATTTTTTATATTTAACTCTATTTAAATTTAAAACAATAAAAGATGATTATGAATTACCAAAACACCTCCCATACTGTCATTAAAAGTAAATCATAAAGCTTCTAAAAATAAATTAATTATTATTGGAAAAGGATACAGTAATTTAAGTTGATGGTTTCTAGCAGAGAGTGAGAGAAAAGAAAGTACAGTACAATCGATTTTTGAAAAAAATAAAAACATTTTTTGCGGACGAATTAATAAAAAGTAAGTCAAGATCGATAATCTAAATCATATGCTTTGTAGAAATGTATAAATTGTAAAGATCTGTGAGGTAGTTATTAGATACAAGCGTTACAGACATTACTGTATTTATATGATGATGATAAAGCAAATTTAACCGTCTTGTCGAGTAAATAGGTCTCAATTCATGAGTCCGAGAATTTAAAAAATTTTGCGAAATTTCGGGAGTTTCCCGATTGACCCGGGAGAATCGGTAACCCTATCACATATAGGCCTTTTTTTAAAACTTCTTCCACCCATCTGGGCACTAAGAACGCTTCTTTTAGCAAGTCCATTATAGGTCGGCAAGACCTACAATAGGGTGGCCGGTGGTGAGGGACGGGGCCCGACATATATATCCAGACAGACTCCCCCGAAAAATTCCTGGGCCTTTTTCGACGCGTTCGGATTCAGATTCCGGGTCACCCAGAGCGGTAGGCTGCCACCTTGGCCGCTCGGCCGTCTGGTATACTGGCTATATTTCAATTAGAAAGTTC